TACAACACAACCAAAGGACAATGACCTCCACCCTGTCACCTTTGTCCAAACCCTGATCTTCAACCCACCAAGAAAATATGCTTAAAAAAACCCAGTATAGAAACTTAGCAGGTTTGTCAGCAAGGCGTGCGCAGTCCAGACCAGAAGCCATCCTGCCACCCAGCCTCCACGTGAAGGACCCAGGCTTTGAGGCTGTACAAGAACGGCCTCCTGCCTGCATCGGGTAAAGATCTCCGCGCTGCTAAGATAACACTAAGGGCTAATAGCTTGTTTTGAAAGAGTCTTGTACTGTAACTTAGTGTTGTAGCTTGTTAGTAGTGATTAAAACAAGCCTTTCTGCTATCCATCGACCGGGTGTTGTGTTAATTCCCAGAGCACTCGGTTAAAAATTCGGTTTCTAACTGCAACACATACCACAGGCACATTTCCTCAAAAAAATATAAAAAATGGGGATGCTGGTCATTTCAGTGAGAATTATAGCTGAGAAATATGGTGAAATGAATTCCTCCCGGTTCCCAGGCAAGAAAGGAAGTGGGAGATGCCGGGGTCGCACGGAGCAGAGCCGCGCACAGGCTGCGCCCTCCTGTTCCTGCTGCTGCTCATCTTCTGGCTCCAGGAGACGGCTGGTACTCTTCCCTCGTCCGCTCAAAACCAAGGGCTCCGTTTGCCTCCAGGGTCTGTTCCATCGCTGATGCTGGCTAAGGGTGAGTCCCGAACAACGGACCCCCGCAGGCCTGTCTCGACTGCAGGGCTGAGACCGACATGATGCTGCGCTGAACGAGAACAGCCTGACCCGCCAGCGCTTCCTCTGCTGCAGCAGCAAGGTCTGCGCCAAGGGAGCGGGAACCCAGACCGGCCTGGACAGGAAGTTTTCCCAGGGACAAAGCTTGGTCTGAACCAGCAGGATGGAGGGGAGAGGTTTGGGTCTGAAGAACTGCACCCCACCCCGGTATCTGGGCATCTAGGGGGGCTGAACGTCTGGGGTCCCCGGGTGGGCCGTGCTGCTTGGGGGACAGCGTTTCCCAGACAAGGAGCAGCCCTTCTCATGTCACAGGGCAAGTGGTGGGAACAGGGTGTCCTGGGACAACGTGGCGGCCAACATGGCCACCAACATGACAACCCAGTGTTAGGCATTATGAGGTCACAGACAATGTGATGGGAACAGGGTGTTCTGGGACATAACGTGTGGCCAAGATGTCCATCAACATGACAACCAGGGGTTGGGCCTTCTGACGTCATAAGGGCATGTGATGGGGCAGGACTTCTGGTTGGTGGCCAAGATGGCTGCAAACATGCTGACCAGGGCAGGTCTTCTGATGTCATAGGGGCATATGATGGGGTGGGACGTCCTGTTCCAGGGCCAGGAACACCCCAAATTGAGTATTTCTGGAGGAAGAGGGGAGGTTTCTGGTGGCAAAGGTCAGGGGTCAGGGGTGGGACTTTGGGTCCCAATATGGCAGGCAATATAGGAGTCAGGGGGAGGGGCAAGGGCTGGGGCACCTGTCAGGGGGCGGGGCTTTTCAGTCTGATAAGATGTACACCCATATACTACCAACCCACACTCCCTCACCTACACACATTGCCCCTAACCTTCACCATCGCTTCGACATTGGACAAGTAACGTGAACTTTCAAAATGTGTCGAACAAAGTCCCATTCCCGCCCTTCTTTCCGTGGCCACCTCCAAGCAGGCAAGCCAGCCCTCCTGCCACGATCCCGAGGCTCATTCAAGTCACGTAAAAGCTGTAATAAAGGTAACGGGGGCAGATTTATACACCTGGAGGGGATCAGACGAATGAGTGTGCTCTAGGATGGGTTATTATTAACCACTTGGAGTAGCCCCCACAGGCACTCATGGAGCCAAAAGGCTTTGGCACTAGTGGGGAAGCCTCAGTTTTCCCAGTGGGAGATTACAACATGCTGCATTTCACCCAGAGGATGGCTTCATCCTTCCCCACCCACAGAAGAGACAGGACCTGTCCCAGGCTGCACCTCCTTTACACCCCCTATGGCCGTTAGCCCAGAAAAGACTCTACTTCCCCCTGGCCAGAGGTTAATTCAAAAGGGCAGGGTCCTTGCTGCACAGCAGGGCATGGGTGTGACTAGATCCTGCTCCTGAGGGTTAGGAACAACCCCTGGATTGAGGTAAATCCTCTGGAAAGGGAACAGGCTGGGAAATCAGAGATCGGCCCTGGAAAGTGTTCTGGGATGCAGACTTCAACCATTTCACAGCTCTGGAGAGGACATAGAGACCAACCACAGGGATATCATGTGAAGTTATGAGGCTTTATTAGCAAGGAATCTGTTATGGAGAATGGGATGCAGGGAAGGAGGGCAGGGAAAGCTGGCACCTGGTGGTTGTGATGAGGGGCTGAGAAGCAAAACTTGCCAAACTGGGCTCATGGGCTGGCAGCAGCAGCTTCTTGCAGACCCCGAAGGGCATGTGCAGACTTGGGAGAGGGGTGATGTGATGGGGAGGAAAGGTGAGGTCAGGGAATGATTCCCCGGCAATAAATGCCCTCCTTCCTGCAAATCAAGAGCCTCACATACCAGAATCCTGGGACCAGGAGGGAGGGCAAAACTGGGGTTGGCCAAGGAGAGTCCCTGGGTTTCACTTGGAGCCAGTTGTCTTGGGGAGGGCACCTATTGTGAAGGCACTGGCTTTTAGAGAAGGATGCGGATGGCACAGGCTCCGAGGCTGATGCAAAGATCATCTCCTCACACATCCTGAGCATAGATGTGGCCTCTCTTCTGTGTGGATGAGCTGGGTGGGAGAATTTCATAAAGCTCTTCTCACCCTCTGATCACTGATGTGGCTCCTTCCTTGCGTGTATAAACTGGTGCCGGGCCAGGCTGAAGAACTGGGTGAACCTCTTTCCACACTCTGAGCACTGATGGGGCTTCTCCCCTGTGTGTATGAGCTGGTGCGTGGTCAGGCTGGAGGACAGGGCGAAGCTCTTCCCACACTCCAAGCACTGATGTGGCTTCTCCCCTGTGTGAATACGCTTGTGCTGAGACAGGCTGGAGGGGTGAGTGAAAGTCTCCCCGCACTCTGAGCACCGGTGTGGCTTCTCCCTCTTGTGCATAAGCTGGTGTTTGGCCAGGATGGAGGACAGGTTGAAGCGCTTCCCACACTCTGAGCATTGATGTGGCTTCTCCCGTGTGTGCATGAACAAGTGCCTGGCCAGCATGGAGGGCTGCTTGAAGCTCTTCCCACACCTGGTGCAAAGGTATGGCTGCTCCCCACTCTGCACACACTGGTGCTGGGACAGGTCTTGCACGCAGCTGAAGTTCTTCTTGCACTTGTTGCTGCGGCGTGTCTTGCTCCCTGGGTGGATACGACGTTGCTGAGACTAGGAGAAGAAATGGGTGAAGGTCTTATCACACATGGCACAGCAGTACTGATTCTTCCCCCTCTGCACATGTAGGTGCTTGACCAGGCCTGAGGGCCACAAAAAGCTCTTCCCCATTTGGTGAAGCAGTGGGGGAACTCCCCAGAATAGATGTGGAGGTGAGCAACCAGGGGAGAGAGGCAGCTAATGCT